TGGAGTCTGTGCACCCACACCGCCCTCAGGCAGTTGCTAGGGCTGATATCCTCGGCTTTATGGACTCTCCATTATCCCAAGGGAGGGCGAGCAGGAGAGAGGAGGAAGGAGGGGACATAGCAAATGAGTGTAGCCTCCTTACCTACTTCTAAACACCATCCTTATGGCGTACAAACAAAACGATAACACACCAAATGGATTTTGGGTTTTTTTTCCGAAACCCAATCTAACAGGAAAGGGGAGAGACGGAGCAATGCGCGGAACAATGGCATAAGTCCATTCTTGAGTGAGATAGTTTTCACATTGTAGAGAGAGTGATGAGTTGGTGACAATGACGGAAATGTGGTGACCTTTAGACATTAATGATCACTATATACGCATGTTTCCCTCTTGATCGTTGACTTAATGGAGGAGGTCTGCTTGTCTGACTGCGGCATTTTCAAATATGGAAATATGGAATACTGACTAAAATCTTAAGAAACCATTTTACCACCTCCTTTCCATCACAGCTTAAACAAAGGCCAATCAAGAAGGTGGTTTTGACTTAGCCTTACACAACACAACTATTCAACAACGTGAGGCGATATCAAAACTTAGGAATGGTCCAAAAGAGTTTTTCATTACAACAAATTTTGTCCTTCAGTTTGTTTTAATAAGGCGCAATCGGCAAGGCCCTCAGTAGAGGGGAATTTGGGGCTCTCGCCTCTGAGTTCAGTCTTACTCAAAGCAAACCAGAGTTAAACAGAAAAATAAGGAAAGTTATAAAAAAACACTAGCAAAAAGTCCTACCAAAAGTTGATGTTATAAAATAGCCATCATGTAAGACCTACAGCGCTGCATTTCAATTGCCTGATTGTCTCTTCATTCTTGCAGTTGGAAGTGTGTTGTGTAAACCCTTAAAGCTCTATGCGAACAACCGATTGGAAGGGACAATGCAGAGTCAAAATAGCAATATACGGCGGCAATTTTTTCGTGGTTTTGACCTCTACTCCTGAGGTTTTGAAATGGTAAAATTGGCAGGTTTCTGTGCAACTTCCTTCACCTTTCCCCCCTTCAACTCCGATTTCCCTCCCCTTGAATGCTTGTATCTGCCACATCAATCGCTGGTTTGAGCTCAAAGCTCTACACCATCTTAAGCCCGCAATTCTTAACTTTTTAACACTTACCTAAAGAAGTCCTCACGACAGTACACCTCTCCATCCCGATAGAAACATTTATTCACGAGAGACACACCACAATCGGGACAGTAGAGACATTTTGCATGCCAGTACTGATCCAAAACCACGAGAAGGGTTTTTTCATGCACCTGTTCTGAACATCGGCTACAGATTGGTGCTAAAAGACCAAAAAATACAGTATTGTGAGCAGTATTCTCACACACGCACAAAAAAGGCAAATCGTGTATTATTGTTGTGGGGAGCACGGGAGTTGGGGCTCGCTACCTCTACCAATCAATGTCAGGGTGCCATCAACTTAATTACCCCCTACGACCGCGACTTTAAAGTAAAGTTAATTTCGTAAATGGTTTTGTATTCACCCCAGTCACTTAACTCGATTAATTTTATACACAACAGGTTAAGAAGGGAGATGAAGGAGTGGAGGAAGGTGTGTGTGTGTGTGTGTGTTGGGGATGAGGGAGAGGTAGGGAGTCGAGGCAGGACTAAGGTGAGAGGGGGGTAGACTGGTTGATGACTGAGCTCTACTCATGCAAGACAAATGAGCGTTAATCAGACTAAAAGGCCAAACTGGTAGACGATAAAATTCCTATCACTACTGCCACATTAAACTTCTTCCCCCTCTCCCCACTCTTACTACCCTCCTCCTCCTCTCCACACTGTTAATCTTTGTTTAGGCAACAGTAAAACACTTTGAACGTTTCCAAATGAGGAGGAAAACCATGACTTAGCTTGACGTGACTATTTACCGTTAAAGCCCGTCGAATAGCTAGTTGAAATTAAGTCATTTTAGTTTGTCATGATGTGTATATTTCATTTACTGTTAGGTAAAGTTAGTTAATGTAGGTGGTTGAATGGGATTGTAGGTAAAAATGAGATCAGTGTTGATGTCAAATGCACATCCATTTTTACACATCTGATGGAGAAAAATAAACTTTTAAAGCGACTGCATTGTGACCTATGCGCAGGCGCAATTTTGAAATTAGACAGCGTCAATCCCTCTTCCTTCACTTACCAGAGAGTCCATTTAAAGGGTTTTGTGCCGTCAATTGTGGTATTGGTTGTGGCGGCATTAATGTTGGGGTTTTGGGAGTAGGCGCGTAGTTTAGCACTGCTAGAAATGGCGGCGGTGGTGGAAAGGGCGGATGCATTTGCATAGTTCCTAGTTCGATTCCATCAACTTGCCCGCTCCCCATAGGACTCAGTAAGCGATGATTAGCCATTCTTTCAAGCATGTACGTAGCCTCTCATTACTAGTTGAGCGCTCAACGTCGCACGAGGCTTTGATTGGCTCGTGTGTGGTCTGGACCAACGCGTGGTGCATTTTCATTGGGTTTCGATTTGCGTGCCACCTCTCACAACCCAATGCGAATTGGTTGCTTCATAAGGCGGCCAAATGAACCCACAATTCGACTGTTCCTCCCTATTTTCTTCGCATAACCACCTAACAACTATGTTTGAAGGCATTGGGTTTTTTAATAAAATCTCTCTCATTTACGAAGGCGGTTTGGGAAAAACAAGTAGTATTCTGGAAGTGATGCCTTGCCAATAAAATTCCATCACACAAATGATCAAGCAACACTCAAAGACCCAAATTTATTTTATAAACACACAAAATGAGAGAATTCCTTTGTAGATCATTAGCCAACGGGAACCATTTGCACGTCAGACATAAAAAAAGGATGGTTGCATCTTCAGTGCATTTAAAGGGATTATAAAAGAAATATTTTGTTAAAAAATGCACACATTTGCTTCTCTAATGAAACTTTGCTATTCTAATTTTTTTTGGGTTCCTGTTGTTGTTAGAGTATCTGATGAACACGCATCACGGTAAAAGGAAGGAAAAGCTAATCGGGGAAATTATGGTGCTAAATTATTCAAAGGAAGCTCCATACACGTGCCAAGACAGGCCTCCTTCGGCGCCACCACTATTGCCGTCACGAGCGCAGTCAGCACACATTGCAAGATAGGCATGCGCCATTGTCAATCTTTCCATCCTTCAAACAAGCCTCAAACACACATTAGCTTAGAGTATCCTCTTGACTGGCTCCTAAGAAGTCCGTCTTCTTCTGGATGCTTTGTTTGGCCTCAAGGTACCGAATGCAAAGAGTGGTGTTGGGGGAGAAAGTAAGGAGTTGAGTGAATTGACTCTTCGAGTTCAGCTTTTGAAATAAAAACGACTAATTCGCAATAAATCCAGTACGCATCAAATGAAAAGGTTTTATGCGTGCTACTCCCTCGTTCGAGCAGTCATGTGCTCGACCTCGCCCCACCACCTTCCTTTGTTACACTCTTTTGTTAACAGTGTGGTTCGTTTGCTTCTCGATCAACCGTTCCAAAGAGATAAAGTATTTTGAAATTTCTGCATAAATACAGCGATGCAGAGGACCAGTTTGAGCTTGCCAGACATTTTGACAACTCAAATAACGAACATGTTGAACTAGAGCACTTAACTTTGATTGATGAGATATCTCGAAAAATATTTTATTCTCACTGTGGAAGCGAATAAGTCCATCTTTCCACTTTTAGGGAAGCGTTCATGTGTATGAAATTAAATTACCATATTTCTACTTCTTAGACAAAAAAACAACCTCGCCTAAATTAAAGTTGGCTTGAGAACTTCGCTGTCAACACAATCTTGCAATATGGCGGGAAACTTTTACAATGATTTGCATCTAAATTACCCTGACTATTCGAGCGTCTCTTTGGGTAGTCGGTGGCAAAGTTGGCTACTATCTCGATTTTGTTCGGTGGAAAGGCCTCCGGACAATGGCGGAACTTCACCGCTCCCCATTTTGCCTTAATACAAAATATTCTGTCATGTCTATGGCCTTCTACTACCAAATTGAAGGTCTCGGGAAGCTAAATTGATGACAGTAAAATGCAAACTTGACTTCCCCGGCACCTCCATTCTGGTCTCCACTGTTTACAATAGGCTTTTTTGATAGGAACGCATATGCTTCAGACTGGGGAACCTCGCACTCGCCCAGTTCCCGTTCACCGCCGTGAACAATCTGGAATAGTAGTGCTTTGAAGCAGCCCTTACTGCATCCACGCAGACGTGTCGGCGATGCTATTAAAGCTAATTCCCTTCCACAAAGAACTACCACAAATTAATTCCCGGACAAAAGTTCCAAAGCATAGCCGTGAAAACAGACGTTCCCACCTCTAAATTTCCGCATTCAGGCAGAATGTCAGTCCAAATCCAGTCAAAACAGCAGAGAGGATCATGTACATTGTTTCGGCCGACTGGTGAGTTGCTTGCAGCACCGATTACCCTGTGAAGAATGGCGTATAATGGAGGAGACGTCCCTCTCAAGTGAAGAAGGGGAGTGTGAAATCTTATCTATGGCTGGCAGTTACCATAAAGGCTATCTTGTTTCTAATCATCAGAGTCGGAGTACAAGTGCTCCAGCAAGCCTTACGCCATCTCTCGCCAAAGTGGAAGCCTCGCGACGCTGCACCATCACCATCGGCCGGTAAAAAAAGACGATTTTCATGAACTCATTGGTTTCCCATTTGGGCCAGTCTTATTGTTGCCATTCTCGTGATTCCGTTGCCTTATTTAAGAGATAAGAAATTGGCAATGAATACCAAAACGTCTTAAATATTTCCATTAGTAAAGAAGATTTGCCAACATTATTTTTACCTTCTTTGAACTAAAAAAGTCACCAAATGGAAGTGGACTTCTTTTCATAACATCATCTTTTAAGCACTATTAAATAAGTTAAAGGTAAATTTTAGATTTATAAGAAGTAACAAAAGCGAGGTGTTGGTTGAATTTAGAGTAGCGAAAATATCGTTGTCGGAGCTTACTTGAAGACAAAAAGTCTACTCGGAAGGAGTTATGGCTAAAATGAAACACTGCTTTGATTTCTCCGTGATTGACTATGACAGGTTGGCTGTGGCTGGCCAAAACAAACTCCTCTTATGGGACAGAGCACCAATTGAATGTGACAGGCACAAAGGAAGGATTCCTTTTAACATAACCGAGTCGAGATCAATCCCAGTTCTTAGCTCACTTTGTTATTTTTTCTCACGGTGTCGTAATTGCTACTGAATCGTCTTCCACAAAAGACATGCTTTCTGCATTTCTTGGCAATTGATTGGAATGGTGACAAGCTTTTCGGATCAAGCCGTAAAAGGAGTTCGGCTGTGGACATCACATTAAGTCACCATTCTCGCACGCATTGTCGTCCGGATTAATAAAGGATGAGTGCGCCATTATTGACTCTGACGTCCGTCACAGGGGGGTGCTGCGACCGCCAGGAGGCGGAGCGGAGGAAGGAGAGGAGAAAAATGGAAAAAGGGGAAAAAAGTGTGCACATAAAATTGCTTCACTTTTCTATTTTGCAATAAAAAGCTATCTGGAGATGGGAGTAATTCAAATTTTTTTGTTTTTTCAAATCCACCCAATGCTTGCAAAGGCTGGCATTTTAAACAAGTCACTTCAAATGAAAAATGCACAAAATGAGAGGACTGCTAGAGGTTGTACTAACACACACTGAATTTCTGAGCATTAGAAATAAATGTAAAAGAATAATGCAGAAAAGTCTAATCAAAGACATCAATGAAAGTCAACAGAAGCTCCTCTCTACGATTATCTGCTCTCAGGCTGGTGCAACTGCAGTAGCAAGTGCAATTCCTCAATCTCATGGAAGCTGATGAATGCCACAGCTGGCTCGTGAGTGCTTTCTTGCAGTGTCGAATGTGTTGTGTTGGCCATTGAGGACGAAGCTTTGTTTAGGTGACCATTCGTGTGACTGCTCTAGGCGGTGTGGGTTGGCCTTTGGATCAATCTGGATCCCAATGCCTTCTCGTCCGCCTGGAATACTCGTGTTCAGCCTAACTGAATGTTTTTTTTTACCTAGTGGGAAGTCTTGAGGTGCTATTGGCAGAATCTGAGGGGTGGAGGCTAAGGTCATCGTTGTATCACAAATCTTACGGCTTGTAGATGAATTTGGTCTAAGGTTTTGGCACAAGTGTCGGGGCAACATATAAATTGTTGTGGCTGATTACCCTCCACCAACTTAAAGGGCTTCCTTACAGAAACAAGTGAAATTAAGGGTGTTAAACTTTCTTCCCCAACTGCAAAATAGGAAAATTAGAGAAGGAAAAGACCTGATTGGGGCACAATTAAGTGATCGGGAGGTCAAAGGATGTCTTCGCATGCAAAAAGCCTCCAATATAGCTCCATGGCACTGCAATTCGCGAGTGTTTACACCATATTAGGTAAAAAAATGGGAAAAATTGCAAGATTTTAATGCTCTATTTGACCATGTGGGTGTTAAGCGTGCCACATTTCTCACGTCGTAAAGAGGACTTTTCACTTATTTAAACAAATACAAAATCATCCCAAAAGGTTTTTTGAGTTTCATTTTCAATTTCCAATTTTGTCAAGACGCTACTTTATATTAAAATAGTCTACTTATAATTTGTTAGTAGTGTTTATTTACGGTAATCATATTTCGTTTATTATTTCGAGAGTTTGGATCTTCCATGATCGACCTACTTTTTGCTCCACTAATAATGACGTATTTAATGATTTCTGATTAATGTATTGAGGTGTATGATTGGGAGATCCATTTTATAATATCCTGATATGATGACAGATAGACGGATGCCAGGATCTCATTAGCATGACTAAATTTCTTAGCTTTGGTCTCAACTGAGGCCTTCTCCTTAACTGAGCACAATAATATCGAAACATGCATACTCTGAGGTGCATTGCCGTAATTGCTCATTCTTGTGCTCCAATTGAGTAACTTCTACTGTTATATCATCTCAAATTGGTAGGCATGCATGAATGTTTTGTCACCTTCTCTTGCCATTAGTGTGGCGGTAAAAGCGCTATTCACTGCAAATGCAAGGAGAGACCGTGAAACTGATAGCACTGCTGGGGGTGGATTTACATGCTCTGAGAGTGAGGAGTTGTGTAATAAATCTTACTACTACAAGTAATTTCGCTTAGCTAAATAACCTCGGCATAGAGAATCCTAAAGGGATTACTCAACTAATACATTTAGCTAAATTTGCTGCTTTTGGAGGTAAACTCCTCTTCGCTATCCAGCAGCAGATGATATAATTAACTACCTTGAAAAATACATTATTCTCATCTTATTTTAGCCGCATTCGCTGACCGACCAAATCGACCTATGACGATCCTGAGGGCACGAAAACTGCACTCCTCACTCAATCCTCCTTCACAGTTCTCTTGTTTCTCTTCTATATCTCAATCAGACACCCAAGATACCTCTTCCCTACGGTCCCATTTCAGCAATAGCAATGATACATTTATGAGTGATTCGCTGGATTTAATTACTCTAGAATTGAGTGGTGCTGCAATCACCTACCATAATTAGCCTTGCATGCCAAGACTGCAACTTCTACTTTTCAGTGACCAATGATGCAAGCATTCACTGCGATTTGGACAAGATAACTAAAGCCCATTGGTTATAAATGATCATAGGAAATGCCAAGAGGGTTAAATGAAGAGCGTATTTAATAATGGCTTCAAGTGCTCCGTCTGAGTCAATGCCTGAACCACCAATAGGGGAGAAATTGCCGTATGTTCGCTTGTAGAACGCAAACCGTACAAACTCTCTGCACTCTCATTGGTTAGCGCACTCTGAGCGGCGATCGATAATGGCGGACGCCCTGACGGCGACTGGCAGAGGGATGGACAGCCCTCTCTCTCTCCCCCGACCTTACTTTCTCACTTCCACTATGCATTACCAACCGCTAGTGCACGTAAGTGCTCAATGCAGCCAAACTATAGAATCGAGAGAACCGCAAAATTCCAGCAGTCCTCGGTAATGTTTCAACCAATTGCACCTCTGGCAAGCACAGTCCCATGAGAGTGGACCTTGCTGTCATAGGTGCCTCCATCATCGACCAACTCTCTCCAAAATAAGTCTACTCATAGCTCGGCAATGAATACGCGCCATCAGTTTGTTCACTAAACCTCCCTTAAGGGAGTGCCCAATCAGCATTAAGCAAGAGAGGTTAAGCCACCCTCTGGACTAAAAATAGTCATTTAAAAGTGCAATTCATCATGTCCCCTTGTCTCCATTCATTCGATTCATGTTCCAAAGAAAACATTATATTGAAGAAGAAAAAGAAGGGGAGGAGGAAGTGAGATTTTCATTCGTTGCATGGAACAACTCCAAAGAACACAATCCTTCCCCTTCTTAAATGATTGTGCTCATTTGTGAAAGTTAATAATCACAATAAACCTCAATAAATAAACAGAAGGAGTAACCTCCTCTTATATGAGGAGCAATGGAGTTGAATTGAAAGATAATTTGTAAGAAAGGAGTAGAATACAACAAAAATACGCACATAGGCGCAGGTGAAAACAAATCACAACATTTGCATCGTATCATAGTCCAGTAATAACGATGTCGACGACAGTGAGTTGCTATTGTACGCCAGACAATTCCTGGCCTCCCCCTTTCCTCCACCCCCAACCCCCTCCATTTCTTCACACATTTGCCGGTCCACTGCCATGTTGGCTTTGGTTGCCAGCGCCTTGACCTCCTGCGTTGCCTCCACCTGACCCCGGAGGATAGGAGAGTCTCTCAAGATCACTGATGAAAGTCTCGGGGGTGAGGAGATGCGTACCACCCACAAGGATATCCCACTGTTTTCCGCCACCACCTCCACCTCCTCCGCCGCCGCCACCAGCACCACCACCACCAGTGACAGAGGAGTAAGCGGCCATAACTTCGTAGGCACAGCGCATTTCGGAGTAGGATATGCCACCGAGAATGAAGAAGATCAGTCGCGGTCCTGAGCGTGTCTGAGCACTCTTCTCTCGATGCCATTGACCATAGCGGGCCGACATTGAGCCACCACCACCACCACCGCCTCGACTCAGGCCGCCACCTCCACCAAGACCGGAGGATTTCACTGGACCACCACCAAAGAAAGGGAACTGACGGACGTCGAGGCGATCTTCACAAGCATCCTAACAGAAAAGAAGAGCAAAACACGTTCAGAGGGGAGAAAAGAAAAACTGAAATGTTACGAAAGGAAGTTGGAAAGATGTATGAATAGGCGACGGGTAAGTCAAGCTATCCGAGGTGAAAATTGAGCGAACGAACGAAAAGAAGCATGAAACAATACCGAAATTATGCAAATAAAGGAGGAAGAGGAGGAAGCAAACCGGACCGATGCCAAGATGACCTCACTAGCTTCCCTGAATACAGAGAAGAGTTCTGAATGGGTAGAAAGTCAAAGTTGTACAAGAACGAATGCCTACGTGAAGAATGGACGAAAGCATGCTTGGCGAGACCTAAGACATCAACGCTTACTGCATAAATAAATCGGAGGCACCTCGAGAAATCGAGGATGAATGTACGGGTAAGAAGTGGACCGATAAGGGGGAGAGCAAATAACCAGATCCTGGGTGTGTTAAGAGATGCCATTTCGGCAGTTGTGAATTGAGTTGGGCAAGATGAGTGCCTGACTTTCTTGACTCAGGATGCGACAGTGAGTGGACTCGATGTCAATTGAACAACGAGGAATGTAAAAATGACAAATGAATGAAGCGAACAATCAGAAGTACAAAGTGGAATAATGGAAGCAAAGGGCATTGTCACACACCTCAATGAGGTCCTTCAAGTATGGAGTCCATCGTGACATTTGATACTTCGGCTCATCAGCACGAGTGCGACGATTGGCTGGAAGGTAAGGCTGGGGAACCTTTCTACGACCGATTGTCTGCAAATGGAAGTCAAACAGTGAGAGAAGTTGAAATGCTCTATCGAAATAAATGAAGACAGAAGCGTCGTTTTGTCACAAATTCGGCGTTAAGAAAACTTTTGTTCAAACACCTCGCATCTCTCGCCTAGCCAATTGGAATGTAGACAAGCAACATGTTAATGTCTTGACTGTGACAGAGAAGGAACCCAATAAAAAGTCTACATTCTGTAGGTCGCAACGCACCGGACCACCACCAGCGTCTAGAAGAACAGGAACTCCAAGAGCCGCGAGGCTTCGCACAACTGCAGCCTGAGGCTCTGGAATTTGAGCATGTTGGATGAGCTTTGCCAGATTCTCCTCGCTGATGCCTCCGCGTTGGATGACGTAGAGGAGAATGAGACGCAACTTGTCGTACGTCGAGACGTTGGAGTCAATTAGGAGGGGCACAGTGTTTCGCATGTGGTCTTTAATACGCTCGCCCTCAGCATCTGTGCCCAGGGCCAAATCCTACAAAACGAGTCAACGGATGCAAGATAAGAGCCACTGCCCACTTTTACGCGGAAAGAAGTCGGTGCACCTCCACTGCTTCGCACGCACCTCTACCCTAACACCTCTCCAAGAAGACTCCAAAAACATGTCGACAAAGGACAGTTTCCACAAGCAATCATATCATCTTAATTATGCACCGTATAGCGCTGAAGTGTACTAACAAGGGCGCGGAGGTCGCCCAAACGAGCAACGGAGGGCAACGTTTGCAGCGTGAGCACTTTGCTAGTGATTCAGAGGTTAGGCAAGCCGATAGTGTAAGATTGCAGAGAGGAGACAAAAAGTCGACCAAAACAAGTTGAAACATCAATGTGAGCACGCTCTTGTTGCAGATAGCACTCGTATTCTCCAAACTGAGAGGAGAGAAACCTCTAAACGCAATGCTTGAGGGTCTGTAAGGATCCCAATAGCTCTACCCTTAATTCCAGTTAGTCCTTTTCTTCAATTCTGTAATCCTTTATGAGGCCAAATGAGGGCATTCAGAGAAAAGCGCCTCAGAAGAGTCGGAGAAGAGGAGTCCTGAACCGAAGCGCTCAGGGTTAACCTGACGTGTCTATCACCAAACCCAGTGGCATTAGAGGTGCAAAATGAGTGACGTAAAGGGAAGTGACAGGTTTTTGTCACCTATTGCGTCGAACTGAAATGCAAAGGCAGTAATACGCTTCGGGTTTGGGCCCTTTGAAAGTGCTAGTAACATAAGGCGACATTTTGTAGCCCAATTATCACTAGATGACAACTAGGAGGGTAGCAAATTCAAACTAATCGCTTTTTTGGCCTACTGGTGACATCAGATCCCAAGTCCTCAAGCTTATGGCATGGAACAACACACAGGCGACGGACAGGGAGGCGGATAAAGCGTCGAGACGAAAAGACCATTCGTCTGACGGCCATTACCTAACGGTTTGACGTGGATCCATGGTTGATGAAGTGCAGAAAAGCGGCAAAGCGAAACGCCTACCTGTTCCACTCGGCACAGTTTGTTTGTGTACGTCTGGTAGTTGTGCATGCAGTCCTCAGCGAGGTGAAAGTGCGTGGAGTACATGGAGAGCTCCTTTTGGTATTGAGGCATTTTCTTCAGCATCTGCGAGAGATCACGCATCGTAGTCTTGTCACCGCCACTCGCCATTCGCTTCTCCTCAGCAAACTTCTTCAAATTATTCGTCACCTAGCGCAAAGTACAAAGACAATTCCGAAATCATCCAGGAAAAAATTGTTACAAGTTGGTGATTGTCTGAAGAAACGGGAGAGAAAGCTTACCTGCTGCGAGACAACAGCGATGTGTTGATGACGCAGTTCTCGCCAAAGATCGTCGGACTCGTCCAAAATAATCTCCTTTTCTCGCTCCTCGGGTCCTGATGTGTTGATGTAACTGGCAGGAGAAGTGGATGAGTGCACTTCTAGAGAATCTCAATAAGGAAATCGCTCTCTCTGACACCTTTCCTCCACAGAAATGCCACTTTTAGTTTGGCAACTACCACAACAACACTTACTCCTCGGTTTCGAGTGGCACGAAACGAAGCTATTTAACTTGAACGATGCCTGGCTAAGGCATTACTAAGCACAACAAAACATGTGAAGAACGCGGACAACTGCGCAAAGACTTGAGCATGGCAGAAATGGTGACAGCAGAGCAAATATGTCACAGTCTGCAAAACAGCATCCCTTGCTGTAATACCAAAGTTGCACACGAGCCTCATACCTTGAGGTTTGGTAGGCAACTTCACCGCATAGCGGTAATGGGGACATGCCAATGGCTCCCGTATTGCCGTTTGGGCAGAATTTTGTGGCCCGCCAATTAACCTGTTATTTCACTACTTTGTTTGCAGCAAAAACGTGGAAGGCGTCGGTGAAGAGTCTCGAGGACGCCCCATTCAATGCTAAAATGACGCTGATCGCATTCTCTTCTCAGTTAGCGATTCGTGGTTATGTGACCCGCGTTAACATGCAAAGTGTGAACACATATGGTGAGAATGCGGTTTTGAGTCTGCAGTCAACTGGTAAGTCCGACGAGCCTAAGGAAAAGTGATCAAAAGCTTTGTGGCCAGGGATGTGAACCGGCCACAATTAGACTGCATAGCTCCTAGGTGGGACGCAGAGATGGTAGAGACGGACTTGCATAAATCAACACGCAGGTCACAAGCAATTCGCAGATGGTATGAGTGTGCAGGATTCGATTAGGCAATTTGGATTTCTTATCGTAAAGTCAAATAGTTTTTACTGACCGTTTGATGATAGGGAGGAAGCAAAAGGTTGGTATTCAACTCATTCTCCTAAACACCTTGCGTGGAATGAATCATCTTCACTTTAAAAAAAAAATGAAGCAATTAAATGTGTGACAGCGATGGCCACGCAATTTAAGAAGAACACAAGTTTAGAAAAGCATCAATCGAACCGTGTGGGAGGTGTGAACGCTCTAAGTGCCAAAAACACTCGCGCGAATGTAAGTTGAGCCGACAAGTTTTTCCCATCGCACAAAAGGTAGGCTAAATGTCCTACAACGAGGGGAAGGCGGTTGTAGGTGCCATGGAAATGCTAAATATGCCCAGATTGTATTGCAATGAATTGACCCCAACAGTGGTATGAAATTGGGCACATCAGTTAGGAACAAAACTGGATTTTAGACATTTCTGGATGCAATAGCGAACAGTGTAAGCATGAGGATGAGCACAAAATCTCTACGCTCGCGATGCAAACCGTATGCCTTACTGCAGGACTTGTTAGAGCACAGGAAAATACACGCAAAGCTACAGTCTCAATCTGCCTGACCAGTAATAATGAAAACAAACATTATAGCGATGAAATATCGTGATTATCCATGGGACAGTAAGGTAGTTAAATCTTAACTTATTTACCTATGGGAAGAGACACTGGTCAAAGTGAATAAAGGTGGCCACAACTTGAAGATTTAGCAAGAGGAAATCATAAAAGTCCACTTATTGATTAAATGCAACACATCTCAACTTTAACAGGATCACCAAGGGCAGCTTAGGCCTTGCGGCCGAAGCACTTGCCATCCATCAAATTTGAGGTGTTTCTACAGACAAAAGCTGCACTTACTCAGCTGAGACATCTACATGGTTTTAGCGCACTTACCAATGGGAAATTCAGTTTTGTAGGTTCCATGTCTACGAAATACGCGGTTTCGCAGGTCCTCTAACCCAAAGTGGTGAGGAATAGGCATGTGAACATTTGCACTCATTCACTTACATACAAACACCTTTTCACTGTTCCAAACGCAAACGCAAAAGTGCCAGAATGTTGTGGAATTTATCTGCACACAACCAACAAGGAATGTTATTCAAAAGCAATTCGAAGCTGGAGTGCGATAACTATGCCCAAAAAAATTTTTTTTAAAGACACTAACCGATATACGTCGTTCTCAATAGCCAACAGATCATAAGCCATAGCCTGGAATGTGAGTTCGTGCAGAATTGGTGAGATTGGATCAAATCCTCGATCCAAGATAACTAACTGACTACGATCCTTGTAAGGACCCTCGCCCATCTGTGGATCGTCGGCCTTGTAAGCATCCAGCTTCTGCTGCACCAGCTGAGCGAATTCGCAGTTCTTGTCATGCTGACTAGGATTGTGATAAAAATACTATTAATAGACAACGTAACAATGGCAAAGGTGACAAAAAAATCGATACTTTCTGTAACGAATGGGTGGATATTCGCCAATGGTGGCGCAAAGCGTAGCAATCTGTCCTGCTATGTGCTCCAAGTGGTGCATTTGGCCCGGGTGTGGAGGATAGCTCTGGTAAAAATAGAACTGTGTACTGTCAGGAGAGTCAAGAGAAAAAACCCGACACTCTACGGGCAAAAAAGCGATATTGATCTCCTTCAGAGTCTTAATAAAAGTGGCGCAATTCGACTGGCAAAGACGATTGAAAAGCTCGTCCGGACAGGCTGAATTAGATGAGAAAACAAATGAATACACACCCACCTTCAGTTAGAAAAACGTGTGCTGCTTTGTACTGATAACGAGGACCTTGAAAATCACTCATGAGTGCTTGAATTGACTGCAGAATATATCACTAATTAGTGCATTACCCGTTCCGTGGGAGTGATCAAATAGATAGCCTCCAATGGGAGGACTTCGCGCCGCTTACCGACATCTTCAACAACTAAAATACAATAAATTTGGAAAGCTTGACAAACGTGTTATCCCCTCATTCATTATTTCATGCATTTTGCAACAAGAAGACACAATTCGTGTTGATAGTTTGTCCAGTACAAGCACTTTCCATTCCTTTGATTTCTTCAGGGGAAGTATCACCTCACTCATAATCTCTACAAAGCGATCCATATACCAAATAGCTGAGTACTTTTCGCCACACACTGCTTAAGCGACATTCTCAGCGACCCACTTAGGAAAAGGAGCTTGAAAAGTCGCAGTGCATACGAACGAAGTAAAATAAGAATTCATAAGGTCATTATAAACCAACAAATAATTAAATCATAACAAAAGCTGTAGAAATGAGATCAATACATACTTACAATTTGCAGAAATCATATTTCGACATTGAAAAAAAACCGCGCTCATATAATAGTGAAAAAGTCGGCAAAAGTATGGGTTAGATGGGTTATACTTTTAAAACAGCTGACATCCCAGATGTCATGTTTTGCATAAAAAACTAGCATTCTAGGACTTTTTATTGGGTAGAAGACATGTAACGGAGCTGAATGAATATATTCGGCAGGAACATGGGGATTAAGCCTGGGTTTAGCTCGAAGATCAACTCGCACGTACAAGGGTCATACGAATCTTAAAGTAATCGCTGGACATCAGGTGGTCAGCTAACTAATGTGCGACACTGTCTCTCTCTTGAACAATGTCCTCGGCGAGCTCCCTGATACAATTCCCATGCCAGCTGTCACAGCATATTTGGCACTGCACGGAAGTACCCTCGAGCTAGCCACGTCATTCAACAGCTGCCATAAGACTGAGGAGCGGTACTTGATGTCCGTGACAGTTTAAATTAGACCTGGCTCTCCGCCCGGTCTGACAGCCCGATTTGGGGTCGCTTGCATCTGTTGACTATTATTTGCTTCCAAACTAGGGGGTTCATCTCTGGTCCGAAACAGACATCTATCCTTAAGCATCATGCCTTCTGCTATCCATAAAGTTGTCTCGGTGAACTATATTGATGACGGTGTAAAACAAAAAATGCTACATAGGAACGAACTTATTTCAAACCTTTAATAAAAATCCTAAATTAAAGGAAAGGTAAAACAATCCGGGTGTAAGGGTTTCTTTTTGACACATTTTTTTGGCATTCATCGCTTTCTGTGGCTTACAGATCAGCCATCGCAAGCTCCTTGTACTTGAGTGAATATTTTTTCCTTTTGTATTGTGCAGCGTTCCACGACTTCTTGCTACACAAGATGTAGATGTTAGACATTGGTCTTTAGCATGGCTTGAAGCCTAATTCACTTGGTTGAAATAAGACAGACACCAGAAAGACCATCGCTATTTAGGTTTTCGTGTGAAAAGAAATGGACACCTGTACCACCTGATGTCTGACAATTACTTTCGTAAGTATATTGTCATCATACTTGTAAGCTGGCCATTTTCCACTTTTCTCTTGAAACCCATTTGTTCTGCCCAACGCGATGCCTTCTTCTACTAAGTAAGAAGGCTCAGGGAGCAGTACCAAGACTTTTTGGGTAGAACGCATCAAATTGGACTGAATGCATGAATTCTAGGAGAAGAATAGGGAACTGGTCTCTACAGTCCTAAAGCATGGTAACCGCAAGACCACAGGCGGCCGCACAAATTAAGCATTACAACGATCAATTTGCTTTTAAGCAAGAAACTGTAATTTCATTGTAATATATTCTAGTTTGTTCAAGTGGACTCTTATAGGTAAGAGGCGGAAAGCAATTGGAAACGTGGGTCACATGCGCTAGGTCGGCGAGGAGCCTCCCTGCGATTGACATCTCCTGCTCACCGCATCTGCATTTTATTCCTCCATCCTTCCTACAGAGATGCCTAATAAACCGTCTACAACCAACTTCCTCTTAAAGTCTGAGAACCAGGGACCAGAGGGTAGACAGGCGGTAACTATATTCATGACATAATAGTTACATTGCATTGAGTCAATTGATTGGCTTTAAAAGTAACATTGCTTTATTCCACATGTTCTTAAGATGTAGCCAAATTGGTAGGACAACTATGGAGATTTTCTCATTACTCCCCATTCTCTGCGATCATACTTGTTACACTGAATTAAAACGTCTTTAGACAAATTTTATCAGCATATGCAAAACGGTGCAGCGACAGTACATCTAAAGAGAGCCTTAAGCGACTTTGTCGGCATTAAAAGTTGAACATGGTTTTTTTGTAAAAAATGTGCGAGAATTTGTCCACCCCACATCTACCCAGGAAAATAAACAATGCATTATTAACATGACATTTAAACTTATCTTTATGTAGCTTTAAGCAGCTTTAACATTTTAAATTTAAACATGGCAGTATTGCCTACTACTTGACTACCGATGTCAGTTAAGGGAACCTAAATGCGAATAATACCGTCGCAGAATGGGCAGGCATTTAAACCAAAATAAATCATCTGTCTATTTCTTTTATCCAGTAAATTTTGTTTTTACTGAAATTCGCTTTATAATCTCGTCCGCAAAGTTTCCTTAACGTGCTAAAATTGGGGCTACAATGTTTCGTTTTATCCACTGCCCTCGTGTGTGCTTCTTTTGAATAAAAGCGACATTTCTATAATGCGAAATTCTTCATAAAAATCATTTTGTCAAATGGTATGTTGTTTGCAAGTATTAAGATTTCCAATGTTCATGAAAAACACTCAAGCCCTTACAATTTCTTGCTCATTTTAAGTAAGTTTATTTGGTTTTTTCGCCTAGTATTATACACTATCACGAAAAAATGCACAAAAGCAATGATATATTACATAGTATTTTGTTACAGACACTTCAATTTGTTTCAACTGATGGTCATGTGATAATGAAGGCCACTTCAAGCATTGGCTAGTTTCTGGATGTCGAGTGCTCTTGGCTCCCTTTCTCGGCCTCCCCTAGGTCAGCTTATATTTCGAATTATTTTGCCTCATGCTTCACTTTTCCCGTTGAATAGCTAAAATGCTTTCCGGGCCCGTCAATGATTTCCCTATTGGCTGCGATATTTCCCTGCTAGTTGTTTTCCCTCGTCTCAGTAACGAACTCCATCATTGTGGGGAGCTATTTTCGTTCTTTTGCTGCTCGAAAGCGCACCTATTTGGCTTGTACTAGTTGTAAATTCCATTGTTCGTGAAAATTCATATTTCAAACAAGAATTCTGATTGGTTATGGTGCCTTCGCTTTTGAGACCTATCAACTGTAATCAGGTATTGAGTTTTCTAGTTGCTTATTGTGGATTGCTTTCGCATAATTTGTCCTCAGTCACCAAGAACACGACTTCTGTACACAATCACTTGCTATTTTTTAGGTGTCGTGAAGCCCTATATAGCGATTCAAAGTTTTGATGAACCTTATTTTTCTGCAAAGGTTTATTAATTTTGTGATTCTTTTTTAACGCTGATGTTTTTTGGTTGAGCCCCTCCCCTCATTAGCTGCCGTTTTTTGCTTTTTCACCTCTTTTCTTGCCATTGAATACGTCTCCTTTGATGTTGATTTCTTACTCATTAGAAGGGTGTGTCCATCTAGGGCTGACTTGTTGTAGTGCTTCTGGAGTGATTTTTCTGTGAGGGTGCGTTTCGTTTAAGTGGATTTCAGGATTGCCACTCGTCAGTTGGTTCCTGGTGCAATCTATCAAAAACGCCACATACTTAGTTTGATTGTCTCGTTGTAAGTACTACCGCCGTTCTTTTTGCTGCTTTTAAAACTTTTTGATCATTCAATAAACTGATTCCTTCATTTAACACCATCAAGAGACACTCGTTATTTGTTGATGTAACCGGAGTACTTGTGATTGTGACCATATTTATCAGCGTTTTTTTTGTGTGACTATAATTGTTTTTACACTTGTCTTATCTTTCATTTGTGGAATTAAAGCTGAGAGCCTGTAACAATTTAATTTGCTAATTGGTTTTGGTCTTAGAAATACTCACTAATTCTATTAGGCAAAGTATGTAGTTTGGGATTAATTGACGTCTCGGCATTTATACCTGAGTCTTTGTGCAAAATGCCACCCATTTTCATTCTAATTAGTCATCATAGCAAATAAAGGAATTTCGCGGCGGTGATGAGTCGCTCTATTATCTCCTTGCATTGCATCACTCTTGCTGGTCAGGGACCTGTTTTTTCCTTGTCTTCTTGCTTCGAATAGCGAGGTTGAAGCTTATGAAGTTTTCTGAACGCCGAATTTCTCTTGATCTCCTTCCTTAGCCTAAGTCAATGCCTTTAACATTTGCTTCATTTTTTATTATTTATTTTTAAATCGTGGGAATTACAGTGCCTTGCTGTCGTAGATTTTCCTCTTTTCCTTCCAGACTCTGCTTCTCGTCGTTAATTTTTTAAATATTACTGGGAGTCATTCTACTCAATTAGTACTTTAGGATTGGTTTTGGAAAGTTTTGAAGCTGCTTTTCCAAAGTTGACATTCACCTTTTTTCGCGAATCGCTTCTTTTATTTTCAAATACGGCGATATTTTTTCTTTACTTCAATTGACTCCTCGAACAAATCGATTGTTAGTCGGTTTTCTCAAAACAGCACCTTGTATTAATCAGGGTTTTCTTTGTTTCTGATGGTACGTCTTCGTCGCTTCACCATAACCAGCCTTTGGAACCTTCGGTTCAGTCCGATTACACAGTAAATTATTCATAAGTGTGGGAGCGTATAAACTTGCTGCTACAGAAGTCATGAGATGATTGTGGTGGGTCACTTTTACGTAGTACTTATTTTTTTCCATATGGCATTAGGCTTCAACGCACTCAGTTCATCAAAGCAGCATCGTTTAATCATTTTGGAAGTCATTACAAGATTCGCACAGCACCTTGGCATGGAATCGAGTCTTGCAAGTTTACTTCTCAGTCTTACGGTTTTCTAGCAATTGGTCCTTGTTTCAAGGTTTACAGTAGTTCACTCTTCAACGCATCGAGCAGTTTTTGCCTTCTTCTTCCGCTCATCAAGTTGCAATTGTACAACTAGTAAAGGGTTTTTTTTTCTACCACTATCACGAGGGATACTTTTTTACTAAATTGTTACTCCGATCTCCTGTTTTTTTGTCCTTGCTAAACTGCCCTCTTTTGTCTTTCCTAACAACATGAGTTGAAGTCTTTGTCTCAACACCGCATAATGGTATTCTACTTCAACTCCCCTTGAAGCCATGAAAAGTGCTCTCTGTCATCTTGATCGTGCCTGAACTTCTACCTTTTTGCTTTTACGCACAGGCAAAGTGACCACAGCCATCCCCACTTGCAGAGGTGGTATCGGTGTCGGGGGCGGCTTTGACAGTAGCAGTGGAAATGTGGCTGATGTGACCGGTAGTTTGCCTCTCTGCATCAAGTGTCACCTGCCACTAGAAGAGAAGTATGTGGTTCGGGTGCGGGGCCGTTTCTGGCACTCCCGATGCGCCCTCTGTGCCGTCTGTGGTTGCAGTCTCAGCGAATTTTGTTTCGTTCTAGAGGGCCGATTGCTCTGCCGACAGGACTACCACAGGTACGTCTTCCTCTTCAACTGCTCGTCAGTCGAGAAATGCAGCGATATGGACTATGTTACTTCCACCTCTTGACTTTATGTTTATTTCAGTTGCATGAAATATCTCCCTATGACAATGCATTTTCCGCCTCGCTTAATCGGTGGCTAGTCGGATTACTGCTGTTATTCGCGGTGGTATTGTTCCACCTGCCCTCCTTTCTTCACCGCTAGACCCTGGAAATCAGACTGCTGCAATGTGTTGCTGTTTGGAGTCTAATACATCCCCGGGTTGAAATCTAATGTCATCACTCTCTTCGCTTATTCACCTTCACATTTTATTTTCGGTAGAATTTACAGGGAATATACGATCCACCAAATAATCCTAATTTAAGGGCGTTTAATTTGGAACATAAAATAAACGAACATGCCAAACTTTCGTTGCAGCATTGAGTAGATTGAATTCCTTCAGTGCTCTTCGATTGGTCGATCGGTCTTCAGGCTTTTTTGGCTTTCGCACCTCCATAATGACCACCTTAACAACAGTGGAGAAAACTGTGAAGGGCTACAACGCTGTAGTTAAAACGATGTGCGAAATGGGCACCCCAACAAATGCCTTTTTTAAACCCATTTGTGCAAAGCTACAGTATCACATGTCCTCGGTCCGACCCAACTGTTTCGGTAGGGCTAGTTCCGCATGTAAAGCTACCATCACACATTTGGCCAACCTTGTCATGCATGATCGGTCCCTTGCCAATGTCCTGGCATTCATTGTGGGATGTTCTTAATGGACAGAATGAAAACGCTTAGGACTGCCTTCGTGTACTTATAGACTCTATGCAACAAAGTGTGCGACATGCAAGCAGCCCATGTTGAGCCACGAATTGTGTATGCGAACAGGCGCCGAAGTGCATCACGTCTCCTGCTTCGTCTGCTCAGTGTGTCGTGAACCATTGGTGGTGGGTGTGGAGTACGCCCGTGACCCCACAACTGGGGCACCCGTTTGCAAACCTGATTGTCTCCGCCGTTCTGCCTCGCCCATTGCTGCGGCTCCCCCAGCACCGCCATTGCCCCCTACCACCGTTGCATCCTGCAAACGCGGTCGTACCACACTCTCAGTAGAGCAGCGAGCGCGATTGCAGCAGGTGTTCGAGGAGAACCCACGACCTCCCAAAAGAGTAAGTTTTTTGTCAGGACTTCAACTATTCATTCTGCTAATTCAAGGTAACCTCAATAACGCTTTAGTGTATTATGAGGGTCACTTTTTTCCGGCGAAATTCGTTTGTTTATTCCAATGCGCCTGCTGCATTTGTAGGGTCTCTTTCAGTCTCCAATCAGGTCTTAATAGGTTGATAGAAGTTGAAGTTGAATGTCTGCTTTTAATATTTACTTACTACTTGTTAAAGTAGGAACATCGCAGTTCTCCCACTGTAAGGCACTTAGCGTTGAGATGAATCATGCACTACCACTCAAGCAGGAAATCCTTTTATTTGCATTGCTTTTCCCTCTGGAGGTGTGTCTATTGTATCTTTGGCATGAAATTAGGCATGCAAGGTTTTGATGGAAGTAGCCTGTGTAGCATTACGCAGCAGTGCATATAAACAAGGCATCTTTTTAAACTTCAAGCCTCTTTCGTCCTATTTTTAAGCCTAAAAGGTGGGCATGTGACACTGCAATGCCACCACCCACCGTCTCAAAGTGAAGTGGTCAATGCCTTGTCAACGAGGAGGGCACAGATTGCACACCCAGTCAGTTGTTTGGTGTGGCCTACTTTGGCATTTTATTCTTCTTGCCATCAACTCTTTGTGTTGTTGTGATCAGAAGGCTTAATAACGCACGTGGTCATGATTCATTGCGCTAAGCAACGCATGTCGCTTGCTTCATTCACCACCTTAATGCGTCAAGGATGCACACTCAGACTTATTGTCAATCAGCATTCAACGGTGTGAATGTGTGTGTGTGTGTCTCTCATGCGCTGGCTGTATGTTCTAAGGTCTCCTTGGAGCCCTCAATTTAGGTGGCGGACTGCCATTGCCCTCATCCTTCAGCACCGCCTAGCCACTGTACTACTTATTGGCTCTCCTCCTCTAATTTATTTGCCAAATCCTTTCTCTCTGCAATGCAATCCGGCAAATATTTGGTGCTTTGCTAGTTGAGACGATGGGAAATCGGATCTTGGTACTTATTTCTTTACCGTTCTCACACTTTTGAGGTGCTTTTGAAGACGCATTAGACGTTAGTATACACCAAAATTGTGCACATTATACTCACAACCGGTGCTTCAATGTCATTCTTCTCTGTCATTTTGTGCACAAGTGTTAAGTACTTACCCCACTTGAGAGCACTGCGAATCTGGATGTTTTTGTTTTTTGATCAGAGTTACATAATTTATTCACCGATAGCAGTAGCATTGCAGACAACGAGACGGAGAGAAAAAGTCAAATGTCGTGGCACCTTTTTTTTGTGCAGGCTCGTGAGGCACTGGCAGAGGAGTTTGGACTGTCGGTAAGGGTGGTCCAAGTGTGGTTTCAAAATCAACGTGCTCGGGAGAAAAAACTTTCTGCCGCCTCCGTCGCTTCGGCATCTCCTACCACCAACACCGTCATCGCCACTGCCGCTGCTGCAGCACCCACTCCCAATAGGATGTCGTCGCCTACGTCTCCCAGTTTAGGTAGGAGACTGTGTTGAATCGCTGATGCAAACAGGGTGGATGTTCAGGTGCAGCTGTGCTTTTTACTCTAACTGTAATTAAAGAGAAGTAGTAGATCTGCTCCACTACCCTTCACGATAATAGCGACTACAAGTGTACCACGGTGATGGTGAACGAGTTTTTTTTTCTCCCCTCCTCTCCTCACGCGAAAACGTAAACTCCTCCTCCTTCACTATCCACGCACACCAAAGTTTCCAAACATAGCACAACATCTCAAGGACGGTCGTAATTTGGCACTGAGGTTCACAGCTGCGATGCTTCCCAGCCTGCAGTAATTGCCTCTGTGAAAACGCAATGCGGATGGAGCTTGGGCATGCGAACTGTGCCTGATACGACTCTTAAATGTCAGTAATTGAGAAGGAATTAGTGCATTCCGCAATTCAAACCAATTCTTTTGTTAGTAAACGGTTTGGCTGTGCTGTTCGACCTCCACAAGTTTGTAGATGCAGTGTAAAGCAATTTTAACACAATAGTTGTAGATTTTAATCCTCAACAGTCTATTTAGTCCTTTTTTTTTCGTGGTTTTCTTTTTACATCTTGTCTCTCTAAGTGGTGTCAATTTTAATTAGCAATGATGTAAGCATGAGTTGAAGGTGAGTTGCTCAGCCAATCCCTCTTCTCTCTCTTTCTCTCCCTTCCACCAAAATCATGTCAGAATGGAGCGCGTAAACCCAAAATTGACAATCGTGTTGATTACGGTTATTATTAGTGATTACTGCGGTAACAATGGAGCAATGAGGTGATTGGTTGGACTGTTGGTAAGCCAAGTGGAGGAGTGGGGGCGGAGGGGGAAGTGAGGGCACTGAAATGCTCTCCCTCCAACTCCTTTTCGGTGATTTCACTTTGTTAAACGTTTCTAGTGTTAGTAACAGCACCATAAAGGGGATTTCTCACTAAGGTGCCATCGCTCTGATTAGGAGGTGATGCGAAGGATTTGGTGATGAGACGTTGCAAAGTGGACGTTTTGGTACAACTTTACATGTGTTAATTGGAGTCAGTCAGGTAATGCTGACGCCACTGGAATCGCATTTGAAGAAGCCTCTGGTACCGCGTACTGCTTGGATTAAAGTGTAGTGGAACGCTCTGTTCCCTCATCACCCCTCCCTCCACCTGTGGTGTCCTCACTCTCGGTGTCGGGGTTTGCTTATTTTGGTATGACTGTGGTTTTTTCCCACCTGACACTTCTTTCCCAACTCCTGTCAAAGTGGGTTGACTTGACATTGCGCTTTTCTGCACTCCCCTTACGATGATTGGCTGTTCGGTTTTGTAATGTAAGCAGTGAATCTTGATTGCCACAATGATCACTCCTCTGTTACCTTCACCCACCACAACCGTGCCATCATCCGTTATTTCATTCTTGATTTGATTAAGAAACCCATTCCGAGAAAGCGTTGTTGGAGCTTTGCATTGTTTATGCTGAAGCTTCATTCTTGCCTCCACTGTTATTACTGTCAAAAAGTGGACTATTTACGTTTCATTTTGTACGGCTACTTAAACCAATTTTGTTTATTTGGTAATGTTTCGTTGACGTTGATCGCCTTTTTTTGCGATTTTTCTGCTTAGGTTGTCGGAGTAAATTGTGGAACACTACTTGCTTCCTGAGGTAGTTAAGGCATTTTGCGATCTAGTTTTGAGCGTTGGCAGTGCTTTTCGACCATACTCATGTGATCTTTCATAATTGTCACGCATTTTTCCTCATCCCTACAGTCAAATCATCGCAATACCGACCAGGCATTAAGAAGGCGCAACTCTTTCACTGGAAAGACTCCACTAACCCCCAGCAGTGGCAGTGACCCTCCACTTGGATAGATCGCGTCAATGGGAGGCGCAAGTAAACAAACCAACAATTGCTTACGACCCCATTTTAAATTTGCATTTATTCGTCACACCGAGTGAACAGCATTCTACCCATCCCCACTGTTTTACCTCCCAAGGCCAGCTTCGAATTTGCTCTACTTATGTGTTTGATAGTAGCAGTATTCTAATATTTGAACGCTTTCTGTACATAGGCCACTTATTACCATATTTATCTCAAATTGGCTAGCCACGAATACTGAACGCATGGTCTACTGTCATCTTTCTCTATTCTCCTCTTTTGAGAAGGAAAAAAATGGTTGCCAACGGCATGGGAAATCACACAAAAAGTAGAGGCTTAGAAAGGGGCATTTGTAATTAGTACAAAGGTCAAGTTTCACCTAAACTGCTCACATGAGATCAAGTTTTGTGCTTTAGGTAGTGAGCTAGGTACTGGTCAGTGAAGTTTGCTGGTAGAAATAAATTAACACCCTGACTACTGGCTTTAGGATTTAGGCTAGACTTTTAAGTGAATTGCTGCTTATGATCACCGCTTTTTGGTAGTTTGAGCGAGTGTGGATGCGCTCAGTTGCTACTTTTCCACGAGTTTCGATGCAGCGCGAACTGGGAGATTTGTGCCTGCCTTGCTGAATGCTTCGTTAGACACTTGGCGTTTAGGCGCCATGACTAGAGCTGACCTATTGAGGAACTATTCATGAAACCTGATTCGTTTAGCCAACCGCGGTTTTGGTAAGAAGTGTGCGAAGTTAGCAGTCTCGCACAAATGATTGTGCAGTCAGAAGCGAAAAGAGGAGGTAATCATTAATAAACAAACCGTATTTGAAGCAGCAAAGCTGCTGGATTGCAGAAGCTTGATGTTGATGCTTACATATTTAGAAGGGAGATGAGTTGCATCTGAGATGGCATCGTTGTGTGAATAAAATGTGGTAAAAAGTTTGAAGTATGTTATTTGATGTTGTATTCGTTGTTTCGGTTGAACATTCAGCTTCACAGTAGCGAACGGAAACGTGAAAGGTAAAGTGAAGCAACATTCGAGGACCAAGTGTAGTTGAACCGCTAAAGTATTTAGTTGCCAGAGCGAAGTCTTCCGCTTGCATTGAGATAAACCAACCGTGAGCTATTTCAGTGTTGACTTTAGATGTTTACGTTGGTTATGCTTAATGTCTGTTTTGTAAAAATGGCTTTAGTGGCAGATGGATATTTCTTTGATGATAGTGATTAGGCTGGAACAACGACTGGATGAAGGCTCAGACCTTCAGTAATAATTCTGCTATTCCAAGTGGCTTATTAATAACTGCCTACTTGTTACTGTGGTCGCCTAAGTGCGGCCGATATCCCTTGGGAAGTTGCTATTCTCTAAACAGAATCATATTTCACATTCTTCGCCTTATTAACCAATCAAAAGGGTCCAAATCCGTCTGAATGGTCCAATCAGCGACTTGTGCGTGTGCAGTATATCGCACTATGCAAATGAACGGAGAACTGAATAACTCATTAGTCTTCAGGCGTGTGGTGAATAATGGATCAAAGTTCCAAGGATACTATTGAATGGAATGTAGTTCCGTAGACTCTGTCTCCTCTTTCACTCTACGAACGAGCGTAAATATTGATTTTAATAAAATGTTTGATAAGATGAAGATGGTTATTATTCTCTCTTTTTTCTCTCTCATTGAGAACCAATTTAATTTATAAAATCAACGAATGAGTGCTGAAGCCAATCAAAGCTCGTTTTCAATTTTAGACGTTTGAGGAACGGACATGTAAAGTCTGTCAAGGAAAAGACTTAACAAATTATTTTATAAGAAGAGGAAGTTTGTACAATACAAAACATTGTTCATTGACCACTTTATCAACAAGACCTTTCATACTCATATGTATTAGGCTGCTTTTGTGAAGTTTGTCTATCTGATTTTGTTGTAGGATATTGCTAAAACGCATCCCATTGCGGTGACAAGAACTTTGCCGACGCTTCAATTTAATGGCTTTGACCATGCATTAAGAGTAATAAAAAACTTCGTCAATTACTAAATTCCGATGTCAAAATCACTTAATAAATTGGATATTACTTATTATTTATCTTCTAGTCCCAAGTTAATCTCTGCTAAACTTAAAATCCTGCGAAAGCGACAAATGACTAGTTAACTAAGGCGAGTGATGCTGAACGAGAAATATCCAATACATATGGATGGAATCTCTCGAACAAAACCAACAGAGTTGTTCTTAGCAGGCTTGAAGGTGGCTAGCTAGCAGACAGGAAGGCAGGCGCAACGCACGAATGTCCCTCAAACGAGGCGTGAATTGGCCGGCGTCGGATATCTGGTGAATGGCACTCTCAAGTTACACTTCTACCAGCACCGCTGCAACCACGACAACAATCACACTCACCCATTGTCTGCTCGTCTAAGATAACACAGACGGGTGATAACTTTCTGTTTAAAATTGTAAGAACAGAAATAAAAGCGGTTCTTACTATTACGATTTTAACTTTTTTCACAAAATGGACCGCATGCTTTGTGGGGAAGATAATTACAGGGGGGGGGCTACGAGCATATGTAAATGGTGGGTCAGTCCTCCATCCATCTAAGCTGTCGGCGCGGGGCCAAAAACCACTGGTTCATTTAATTGACTGGCAGAGTAGTTTCATAAAAACGAATCCTCAAATAGTGTCCAAATTTGGTCTCCATTCCGCTCTGGTGCGTAAAACAGTTCCGATGGTGGTTTGATGCGACTGTAAAGTGGTGATTGTGTGGGTTTTTGTGTAAATTGTAGGGCGAAGTTGGGAAAAAAGGAACTGAAAAAGCATATGTAAATGTGTACAGTCCCAATTAAATATGTTCCGACAAAAAATGAGAGGATTTTTATGACGTATTAAAGATGCTATCATCAAACCTATTCCAAATCTAGAGATCCTTAGAGTGGCTATTTGTCTGCGAAAATTGCAATTACTATTCGTTCTGCCTAAATCCTTTTATTTCTTTGCAAGTGAGGTTGCAAAACAAGGATACTATAAAAAGTGTGGGCATTCTAAGTAGTGTTTTATTTCTCCTGATTCTCTACTCAAAGCATGGTTATTCCAACAATGATTAGCGTCCACCCAGTGTCTTTTCCGAATCTCGCAATCGTCCTTAATCGGGGACAGCAGTGTGGGCTATTGAAGGGAGCCGATGAGAGTGAATGAGCGAAATCGTAAACTCCTGCAACAGGTGTCATATTTCACACAAGCACACACTCACTGTCCCACTTCACCCCATTGAGACTGTGCTGCCTCACAGTGTGACATACTGCAACAATTATCACTTGCGTCATTCCTTGGTTGCTATCAGTGCACTCAAAGTGTAGCTATTATAAACAAATCGCTACGTCTGTTGCCACAGCTACTGGTTATGCTGATTAAGTTTGCACAACACTTTCCTCCTTTGTTTCAAGACTTAGGGCTTGACTTCCATGCTATTTATGGTGATGGCATTCCTTTTTAATTGTCTAACAACAACCTTTCATGCAACCGAATGCCTTTGGGCGATATTCCTAATGTCTCTTCACTTTAATGATCAGTTTTGACAGAGAACAGCGGCTGCAGAAGCGCAAAGAGAAGGAGAAAGTTGATTGGTTCAACATTGGCTGAGAGCGCGGAGGTACAACCAATGGCGCATCGACGCGGTGCTGCATACGCGCATACGTGCACGCATCTGTGCAGGGTGTCATATTTTATTTGCCTACCAAAGTTGAATGAAATAAGAGATCATTTGAAGTAATCTGAGCAGAATAGAGAGAGCAGAAAAGCAAACGATGTTTACCGCGTCGTCATCATCGCCATCATCAGTAGCAGTAGAGCGATCAGATTCCAATTGCAGAACAGCCACCACCACAACTGCCAGCATTAGCAGTAGAACTCAATACTCTCCGACCTCAGGAGTGTCTAATTCCTATTCTTCGCACTACGGCTACTCTGCCAATTCTTCATCGAGCCCAAACTTTTGGTTTGATGCATCTTCAAGGACCTACGAACAAGCACCGCCAAGTGCAGGTCTGTCATACACAGATGAGCAGATCTCTTGCATCTGCGATGTTCTCCAACAATCCGGTGATTACACGCGTATGAAGCACTTTGTTGAGAGCATTGGCGACTCAGCTAGAAACAACGAAAGTTTGCTGTGTGCAAAGGCTACATTAGCATTCAACGAGGGAAGGTTCGTGGATTTGTACAGCATTTTAGAAAGCCATGCATTCTCTCCAACCTGGCACCAGCGTCTTCAGAACCTATGGATGCAGGCTCATTACATGGAGGAAGAGAGAGTTAAAGGTAGACCGTTGGGAGCAGTAGCAAAATACCGAGTAAGGCGCAAGTTTCCCCTTCCTCGAACAATATGGGATGGAGAGGAAACCAGTTACTGCTTTAAAGAGAAGTCTCGAGCTATTCTGCGGGATTGGTACACTCATCGCAATGCCTATCCCTCGCCTCGAGAGAAGAAGGAGCTCTCTGAACTCACCGGACTGACAACCACTCAGGTTTCCAATTGGTTCAAAAATCGGAGGCAACGGGACAGAGCTTCTGAGACAAGAACCAACGGAAATGGATTTAGGTGAGATTGACTGTTCACAGCTCATTCTTCTACAAATTCTTTCATTGTCTATCAATTAAGTTAATCATGATTTTAATGTTGGCAGTTTGAGATACTCGTTTGACTTAAAAGCTCCTGTCGCCAAACAAATTTTCACGTTACATGATTAAGTTTAAACTCAAATTATGCCTTCTTTTGAATAAATTCGTTCTTATTGTTCATTTTTTTGGTTTAAAATGACTTTTTTTAATGCGTGGCAAAATCTTTACAACCCAAACAGTTTTCTTGCAGTCAAAAACATTCCAAGGGGAAGTTTAAGATATAGGAAAAAATGCTCTTAAAGGTGCAATGCGAACGTGTCATGCGAACCCACTACAAACGTTCAAGAAGACTGCCCATTGACCTTATCTGAGTATTTCTACAAAACGCCCCTTGGTTTTCATTCTTCCCACCTTAAATAATACTTTCTACCTTTTTGCAGGTATACATAAGATAAGTCGTGAATCACTGCGCTGAGAGAATTCCTTTGAGGTTACCTTTTTTTCAAACAAAGCGTTTTGTTCCCTCCCCTATAGCTAGTCTGAGCTTGAATTAGCCTGAGGCGACTGTTGAGTGGAATCACCACCACCATCACCACCACGACTGCGCATCGTGAGCAGGCCAAGTGACCACATCGTCTTAGCACTGGCACGAGACAGATCCCCTGTTCACGTCTATTTTCCACGCCTTAATCCTAAGTCCTCACACGGCTTCTCATCTAGTCCGAAAATGCAGCCATAGGCCGAAGTCCTGCATCCAACTCTATTTCAGCATAAAAATTTCACAGCCGCGTGCACGATTAAGTCTCTATGGGAATTAAATCAACTTGGATCTTAGGTGAATGGCTATCTCCGTGCATGGAAACGTGGCAGACATTCGAGAAATACATTAATCAGTCAGAAAAACGCGGATTCAGTTGGTAAATTCTCAATTTACTGGATTGCTAAAGCCAACAATTCGGTGGTTGTTAATCAAATCGTAAACCACACTGAGATGCTGTTTTGGTGGGTCTTAAGTGAGTGGCGAAAGCTTATGCGATCCCTTGGGATGAGCTGCAATATGCACAAGGACTCCACAAACCTAACCAAAAGGTATTACTTGGTGCCTAGGAATCAATAGGGAGTGAAAGGAGCACAAATCTGAGAATCCGCATCAGACAGAATTGAACAGAGCCACTTCTGTTTGCATAGTTCCGTACTGCGTGAGGTGGAGACAAACCAGGCTTCATTGAAAAGCTTAACCCAACGACCAGTGCCTTAAAGACTGCTTTGAGCGAATTGCAACATCTGTGAGTGGCACATCAAGCGTCCACTCGACCCCAAACTCACGAAACTTTTGCTATCCACGTCATCTTTTTAGTACATTAGCGATAGTAGATTGCAGGCGTTAGCAACCACAAGGAAAGCCAACCGTAACACCGCAGTAAAATGCTGGAGGAAATTTTATCCAAATTAAATCCTTGTTGGAGCTGCAGTGCATTTAACAATTCGAGATTTCAAACCCATTTCTTGCCTGTTTCATCCCTTTTCAACACGAACATTGCAAGGCTTCAACGATGGTTGTAAATTTGTGCATACTTTAGGCAACTAGTAGCCTTGAAGGACTAAAACTTGATTTAAATGAATTTCATTTAAAATGAAATGCGCGAATTCAATACAAGGAAGTTTGGAAGGGCTAAAAACTACAGGTCGTTTTTCTGCCATTACCTCATTAAGAAGTACATAAGGCCTGCGTATTGAATAACCCATTCACTCAGTCCCATAGCGATTCAATCGGGCGAGGAGAGAGTCGATGGTGAAGACTGCAGCGAGTGTCTGAAGGAGTCACTAGCTGAAGATTCTGCTCAAAATTACTACAATACCACATCTTCGTCTCTTCAGCCATCCAGTAACCAAACCACGTCCTCGTGGCAACACTCAAAAATTCTAACACCCAACTACTGGCCTCCTACTACACCTACACCTGTTGTGGACATGTTTTTCCGTCCAACACTTCGACATAGCCACCAACAACAATTGCAGCAACAGCCGTTGCTTCCACTGTCAACATCTCAACCACCGCCTTTACCGCAGAGTTCATCCACATGGAGTTATGAGGAGACTTATCAGTACAATCCCACTCCCTACCAGCCCGAGTTTTATCCCGATCCTGGCGTCTGTGTTCAGCAAATAGGCACAGGCAGCGGTGGCAACCAATGGGACTCAGAAGGCTGCAATATGAGGACAGAGGATGTGGTTGTGTCAGGGCGGTTCCAGCTTCAGCTGGAGGTACAAGCCCGAATTAGGAGGGGTGAAACAAATACCGCAGGGACGACATCCTCACCCCCATCATCAATGGGGGAGAGGTACCTACCCAACGGACCCACCTATGGAATAACCCACACCAGAAGACCACATCCAACAGTTCCTCCGCTCTACATGGAAACCCACTATCGGCAAGAGGATGGACAGTTTGTGGAAAATTAAATGACACTTCTATGTATGCAACAACTCTACACACGCGCATATTTTTATGAGATCCGAAGCAAGAATTAAAAAAGATCGCACCCCTATGCAAGAAGTAGCCAAGCCTTTCTGAAATCTATTTCTCATATACAGGCAAACTATACAAAAAATAATTGATGTCAGAAGGTGGTGATTGTTCACTTTTCATTTTCAAGATAGTCCTTTGCCTCGTTGATTTTCGCTGCTAGATAAGGGGATCCTCCTAAAAAGAAAAAGCTCAGTTTGGATGGTTTCTTAAGTCATTGCAGAACGATTTGAAGTCAACAATTCGCATCTTTAAAGCAGCCTTCTTGATAGAAGAGACATGCACAAAATGACGAAGTCGAGAAAGGAATGAAACGCTTAGAGTGAAACGGCACAAGTAGATAAAAAGACTTGTAAGACCAGCAACAAAGAGCACTTCGAGAATACTGAAAATGGTTACTGTTGCTAAACTCAGAAAAGTTAAAAAACCAGTCCCTACTCAACACTTAACTCACTGGGTAAAGTGCAAATAAAGTGCGGAAAAAATAACTTGAGTAAAATTAAAGGCAACAATGTAAGGCTGCGACTCGAATGTTCACCTCGATCAGGATGATTCAATAGCATTATTCTCTTGTAAGCCTCTCGGATTCTGGACTTGCTTGATGTTTGACTACAACCAAAATATTGTATCGATGAAATAAATGCTATGTAAAATGTCAGAACCCAAATCCGAACGCAAGCAACCCAGAGCAAAGCAGAAAATAGTAAAATACGATAGCTTACGGAACGCCCAATATCAAAGCAGCTTCACGGCGAGACATTTTTCGTTCAAATCCACCCTTATAATACTTGGAAGTCGTCTGAGATGAAAACAAGGGAATTGAGTTAGCAATCGAGGCCCATATAGAAGTCGAAGAAACTAAAACCCACAAAGCCAGCTAACTTCAAAAAATCTTGCATTTGCTTTCCTTTCACTTGTCTAGTTACTTGGCGACCGATCAAGCCAACTGCGATTAGTCCAAGACCAACTAATACTGGAGTTCCCTTTAAAAAAATAAATAAAAAAACTACAAAATACCATCAGACAACTTGGCGCCGGTCACCCTGCGTCAGACAATGTCCATACTCGATGTTACTGATGATTATTAGCACTAAGGTGTGTAAATCAATACGCATATTCATTTGACATTTAGCAATAAATCATTGCCCAAAAGTTATTGTGAGCATATTTCAAAGCATCGCTTTTAATTTTAACGCAGAAGATAGTAATTTATAGATTCGCCATCGTAAGTTACATCCTATAACTAGGGCTTAGATACATGACTATTTGCATACAAATAGTACATTGCAAGAAGTCCACAGGAAGCGCAAGAATGAGAACCACTGACAGCAAAACAGCTGTACACGGGAATCCTTTTAAAATTTTCCATTGAGCATAGTAAAGTCACTATACATAAGGACTAAAAATAATGTGATTGGTGCGTTTGGGTTCGAATAAAATTAAATTTCCTGATTTTGTAATTAACCCTACACTAGGTTCCTCAGCACTTTAAATGCTTTTCTCTAAGTAATTTTTCGCACAGGATTCTAGAAATGCATTACTAGCCGTCAATAAGAATGGCGATGTTAAATTCCAACATTAGATCAATTAACATTTACCCGCTAATACGGTTTATTTTGGCGTTTGCTTCGAGATGAGTCTGTGGAGGCGAATTCAGCGTATTGGCATGAAAGCTGCCAAATTCCAGTTTACTGTATCGTTGGAGGAGTTATCGATAAAATTTGAGAAGGAATATTGGCCGAAAAACATTGTTGTTGTATTCACTCGCAGGGGCAGGCGATGTACATCTCAGGTCCGTAAATATTGCGTCTCCTTCTCTTGATGTGCATTACATTCTGGCTGCTGGAACTGATTTTTAAATTGCCACTGAGTCTTTGGATTTTCGATTTTAGAATCGCTCATTTTTATTTGCGTATGTATTCATAATTTTGCTATCTGCTGACTTTTTCTTTTTTACTAGCCCGTAACGCTGCGCAACTCCATACCGGAAGATCCTTCGTTTTCCTACACGTGGACCGTACCGGATAATTTAGAAGTTGTAACCACCCTCTATCGAAGTGAAAAAGACATCTCTTTTGAGGATAAGGAGTGGACCTTTCAGATCGAAGATGTAGGCTTGCACTCATTCCCATTAAATTTATTTACTGTTCTGTGAGTGCTGATAGTGATTCTCTTTATTGATTAGTTGATAAGAATTTTAGTTACTTTTTTGTCAGTAAGGTGATGTGATTTGGAATCATTGTATACCTAGTTTATCGGTATGTGGACTCCAAATTTAGCATCTTTACCTTCTTTTGTAAAGTGGTGTATCGTATTTGCCTCTCAGTCCTTCCTGTGACCAAATAATCTCTGCTTAAGACGATCGTAGATAACTTCCATTCCTTGACTTGGCAACTCAATGGGTATCTGATTTAAAGCAAATTATTTGTGCTTGTATTTATTTATAGTCAGTCCAAGGTTGTAGTAACTACTTTTGTGCTGGAAGTCACGCATACTTCTGACTTTCATTTTGGCATTTGGCTTATGTTTAACAACATTAAAAGTATAAAGTTGTCATTTTTAGTTTGTCTTTATTTAAACGCTACAATTACCTTTCTTAAGATATGGGCGTACGTGCTAATATTGTCTCAGCGCCTAGTTGATTTTTGAACCTTAGGACTTAGTGACAAGGTCTAAAGTTGAACCATAGTTTGCGAAAATCGAAGCTCCCGTTCACCAACAGATGTTAATTTGGAGGCAGGTTTTTGGGTAAATTGTGATGCATCCACGGTTGTTATAGGCTATGGGTGGAATTTTTTTCTCAAGAATCGCCTTTATGTTAAAGTATCAGACTTTGAGCAGTTGCGTTTCTGGTCAAGAGTGGCCGTTTACCAGTCATTTATTGAAAAATAATGTTACATTTGTAGTGTAGATGCCATTTTTTTCTCAATTACGCACCCTTTTTACAAAAGAAACTCCAATTAAAATCCGTCCTTAGCATAATAGTCGATATCATCCCATTGTTTAAGTACCGTTGCTTTTTAATCTACTTTTACACCCTCACGTTTGACAACTAACGGCTCTTTGATCGGTGGTCAGAGGCCATTGATTATTTTATCAGGTTTTACTTAGTATTTCAGGGTTTGTATTGTTAATTTTGAATTTGATGGTTCTCTTCATATAGTCCAAGATAATGTTTAAGGTCTTAAGTCTGGATAATGCTTACAGTGTGGCCTCTCAATGTTGCTTCATCTTTTTATGCCGCACCTTAAGTACTCATTATCTCCTCTTGGTCTGTCCCAGCACGTGATCTTTCCTATTAGAACACTCTAGCTATAAAATCCTGATTTAGGTAGCCAGGCTTATTTGGCCCAAGGAACTTATCTGAATGATTCTTTCGTGTCGCCACCATGCTACAGCATAGGTATTCAGGACTGTACGCTTCCTCCTGCAGGTGTGTGTGTCAGCAGCGGAGTTTAAAGAGGCCACTAGACGGCGTGTTTTGGCCACTCGCAATCTTAACTTGGCCGAATTCGCATCAGCTCTGCCCACGCAGAATAACCTCAGGGTGAACCTGCGAGCAGCCTCTAGAAAGGTATCCTCTGCCAGCCTATTGTTCACGCTTCATGGACTCATGCTCCGAACTGGCGAGGCGACGTGAGTCTCCATTTCGGTATAGAACTGGTGATTCTGCGGTTATGACACATGACTAATACTTTACCAGTTGGTGGCTTGATTTTCATTGATGGTCAGTCTGGTGCGTGGGCTGCCTTCATCTGGCTGTTACCATTATTTCTGACTAGCGATTCAATTTTGACAAGCCTCTGTAACTGCCAAATAAAAACTAACAACATTTGTGCAAAAGTTGGCAGCAGTGCAGACCCCTCTATAAACTGTAACTGCATGATATGGAACTCTCTCGCTGTGTAGGTTATTTTGCGGTGTTTGTAGTGTAGAACTGTCACTCTTGCATCAGGTGGATACATGTTAGAAACTTTCATAAAATAAGAATAAAACGATCGCACTACAGAGCCTGCGTGCTGTTTCTCTTCATTTTTTAAATTTCTGCTACTGGTGTTTGCTCTCTTGAAAAAAACAAAACACTTGATATGCACGCGAAACAGCTTCCAAGTCCTAGGCTGCAGCAGAAAACTCTTTTCTTTGAGTCATCATCCCATTTTAATTATGGGAAACTTAGCCCGAGATGCGTGTTTGTCATCTGATCCAGGTTACATTAAAGCAACCGCATCACCAGTGGAGTACGAAATAGCTTTCTGAAAGGCTGTTTCTTGAGCTGTCATTTCATTCCCAATGAGGGCAGTTTTCACTAGGATGTGAGGTTCCATGGGTTGTTTTATTGCTCCAAACTGGGTCACATAAGACCCAAATGAATGCCCACTTTTAGGCAGTTTTAAGCAAGTTGCTAGGCTGACATTTAACAGTTAATCTGTCGATGAGTTGAATTTATTTGAGGTCGCATTCATGCATAAGAAACAAGTTTATTACCGAGTTATTTTATCTCTGTGGAATTTTAATTAGACACAGCGAAATGCTGTCATTATTTAAGGGAATCACAACCTTACTCAGTAATGGTATGGTCTATTTGTTTCCTGTTTAACTGAATGAAGAACCGTTCTTTAACATGAGAAAATTTTCCACCTTTTTTGTTACTGTCACCAGGGACGAGGATATGATTTCAGTTGCCTCCTCAATGTCACTCACCTACGCGCCACCCTCGGCCTACGGGAGTAGGTGGGGCAGTGAGTCGCCCATTCCCGAGTCAGAAGCCTTTTGCAATGATCTAGCCAACATCTCTAGTCAGTTGCAAGCTCTCGAGCGTGGCTCGGACCTCTGTGAGGTCGATAAGGAGGACACTGAAGCGAAGGAGGCAGGACGAACGGAAGCGGAGACGATGACTAAAGGCGAGTATCTGCTTATGCAAATTGAAAAAAACAAAACGAAACTTCTAGTCATTCGGACACCCTCGTGAAAGCATTTATGAACCAGTAGCTAAGGCAGTTCTTGTTCCTATCCCACTTTGAACTTCACCAGCGTTCCCAGTTGTGGTTGTGCAGATCGTGCTTGCTTTTGAAAGAAAGCAGCCGTGAAATCAATTGTAAGAAAACCGAGCGTCAGCGGATTGAAGGGTGGATTTCATGATCATGCCACGAATGCGAGAGTCTGCATTAAAATGGAGCAACTACATCCATTTTATGCTCCTTCTAGTGGAGGTTATTCTTCCGTGTAGTGAGTCAAGGGTTGTACTAAACCCTTAGTAAAGTTACTTTGACTGCAATCGCCTCACCTAACATCTGTAATATCACTTTTTTTTTCAAAAGGTCAATCACTTTACTTTAGTCTCAATTCAATTGGACGTGGTTTTCAATGGCCTTACAATTTTGAACTTTTTATTGTTCCTTTAATGAATGACTCTACGTTATAAAAGTCGGAAAAAGGCTTTTGAGTAGCTTCACTCTCATCCAGCTGAAGTACTTCTTCTTCAACATGGGATGACAATCCACCTCCGCCCAATAGTAGTCGTTGAGGCGCTATCAAGCAAGATTAAAAACTAGCTCTTTTAGGCGAGCTCTTGACTGCTTAAGCCCATCTCCCCAATTTAACACCGGTTTGAGGCTGTGCGGATGGAATTACCAAACCCCTTTTGCAATTGCGCTATGGAGGCATTCGGTGTTGGACTCTTGCAAGAGGGCAAATCTAGTGACCGCATAACATGCCCGGTTGAGATGACAACCTCCTGTTCTCACTGCTTTGACTGTGAATGCCCTTATTGGCGTTAATGTTCAGATGGCTAGCGAAGCATAACTGTGTGTGTGAACGTCCTTCTGAGGCCAATCACACATGTTTGCTACAACTTACCAACATGTATTCATCAGGTATAATAAAGCTAAAACACCTGTTTTACTGTTACAGGCATACAGAATTCACAAACGGATATCAATGGCGCCACGCTGGTAACAAGGTTTGCTGTGTTTGTGGTTTGCATCTATTTCATATTTGCATCCCCTTTACCTCGGGACTTTTTTGTCCCCTCTCCCTCCCCTCCTCTCCTCTCCCTTCATTGTCCATATCCTCTACTCAACACTCGGATGAATGCGCCTTTTTGCAGTGGAACTTGGAAACAGTAGTTCATTTTTGTGGACCATCGCGTGTGAAAGCCACGATTCTTGAGCTGCCCCAAAGCCTCCAGTTTTCAACTCTCGTAGCTAAAAAATAGGAATGTCTTTACGATTGGCTTTTGCCACGTTGCTAGGTACCTGCTTGATGAGCAGGTTTTCGAGCATAAATTCCTCCCATTCGAATCGTAATCGGGTTCAACATTCTTAGGTTTTCTTCCACTGTCCAATGGCACTCTCCACACCTGGTTGTGACTACTTTCGAATGTGTATAGCTGACGCCTGTCACGCTAGTGTAGTGTCCAAGCGCATTCAAACTTTCATCCACTTATGGACAAGGTGTTTACGCACAACTGCGACACTCAGATGTACTGTAGATAAATCTTTTGTTGTATTTTTTGTCTGCATTCGGTACTTTAAATAGCATTTAGAAGTTGCTCTGTGTCCTTAGTGAAGCCAAAAGTACGTGGGAAGACTCCAAGTAGTCACTTGAGCGTGGATTTTGGCTCGATTCAGTGTACATTTGTCCTTATTTGCCTCAGTCATGTAAGTTCTTGACGAATGAGCTTTTATCTACTGTCTCCCAAATTCCTACAAGAACAAGTGTTAACACTTAAGGCAGTAGTATTTTGATAGCATTTCACCTTCGGAGTCTGGTGTTCAATCTTTCTCTCAGCCAATCAGAAAGCCAAGCCAAGGTCACCTCTCAGACAGGCCAAGATCTGTTGGCCTGGTGTCAGGAGGTTACTGCCACCTACGCTGGCGTGAAGATCAAAGATCTCACCATCTGCTTCCGATCGGGTCTTGCTCTCTGCGCGATAATTCACCACTTCCAACCTGAGGCCATGTAGGTTTGCCTTCCCTAATGATTGCCACTGGGGCCTGTCTGACTTTCCAAGTATCCACTTTTACTAATCCAAGTGTATGTTTTGTCTGCTGGTCCGGCTTCATGTCTGTTCGTGGTTGGCCTAAAAAAGGCACTCCTTTTCTCCATTCTCCTAAACCTTTGAATGCTGAAACAAGATGAGGCTACAATCAACAAATGCCATTATCGTCGAATAAGCAAGTAGCTTGGTTGAGCAGACTGCCTTGCTTGTATGCTGTGCTAGCCTCGAAGGTGAACCAGTTGGAAAGGGCCAAAGCAGCAAGTGAATTGGAGGTTACTGCCACCAAAATGAGGAACATTAATGAGGTCATCATGTTAAAATGCTCGAGGGCCTTTACTTTGGTCGATTGTTTCTGGGTGAAGAGTCAGGTCAGAGTCGGTAGCACTTTTTGTGGTTGCGTTGGATCATCGTATCATGTGAAAGTCAAACGATTGAAGCATCCAAATTGGTGAAGCAACTCGACCGCCTGAATGCGAAGGAATAGACCAAACCACTTGAAATACATTTCGTTTGGTTGTGCACTCCTTTTTAAGCCATCCAAAGCACTCTTCAACACTATTTAAGATGCTTAAGTGTCAACATTCTGGTCAATTTTAACTATGCTTCATTTTTTTCGCCAAAAAATAGGCTGCAATTGTAAGTAAGGTTTAATGGTTTGCTTTGATTTTGGCGGTGCATTCAGAACTCGGGTTTTGGCATCTACAAGTGAATTATTATGTGCTCGGCATAGGCAACTCTGCCTCCCGATATCGAGGTAGGGCGGAATAAATAGGGAATCCGCTCCTGAAAGAGCCCAGATTTTTAATTAAGTGACATCGGTCTTCAACATTGGCATTAACTCGATGCCTAAATTTGTGATAAAAAGGTGTTCTCACGAGGTCTTGTCAATTCACAGAGGTGACTTTGAACTGGTGCGAGGCATGACCCCGACGGAGCGTGTTCGATTGGCCTTCGATGCGGCCAGTCGACTTGGTGTTGCCCGGGTCTTTGTAGATCCCTGTGAGGTGGTGCGAGGGCGAGGCGGTGCTCCTGATCGCCTCTCAATGATGACTTACCTGCACCAGCTACGCGCTTGCCTTATCTCAACAACCGAGGAGGAAGAGGAGGCGGAGGCGGTGAAAGCGGCCTCTGCTACACCTCTCGATGGTGCTGCGGAGTGAGTTTCATTCCCTTTTTTAACAAAACAGTAAGATGGTGATGATGAAGATGGGGTGATCTTAATTAAAGCACTCTCATACCTCTTTGATTTACTGAATAGATTTCAATTTTTCTTTTTTTCTTTTTGATAACATCATTGTGTTTACCTCGACGCTATATTAATTTCATCTGCTATTTATTCGATCGCTTCAGCGATAAGACAATGCCATTTTACTTCAAACCCATTACATTTATTGCGCAAAAAATGATTCATGTCTTCGTTTCCTTTTTTTACCAACCACATAAGCTGCGGAACTCAATATTTTCACTTCTTTGCAATACTGCTAAATCCATTCTTACTGTTATTGTGTGCCCTTCTCGTCTGATGAAGGCATGCCGAGAATGCGGCAGTAGAGCGTCTCCATCCTTCTCGTTTTCATAATTTTTTCTAGGTACACTTAGTTAAAACGAAATGTCCACAATTTGTGTTATAGGCAATTGTGGCATTGCTTTGATTCATTAATTCCTACCGTTGAGGTGGGCCTTGTGTGAACTCCGCCTTCCCTCCCCTTGCAGCCATCAACAGAGCGAATCGGAGGAAACCAGGGAGTCTGAGGATAAGGGCAAAACAAAAGCTAAAAAGAAGAAACATGTGAGTATTTCTTTTGAGATTGAAGGGATTTCTTTTTGGTTGCGCCTTACCTCTTTACGTCTCCCCTGTTTGTTCCTTCTCTAGGTGAGTTCAGGTGGCGGCAGCGCCTCGGAGCGCTATGAGCAGCTGTTGACGAAGGCGCGAACCCTTCTGATGGAGTCAAAATCGGCGGATAAGAATGCTCCTTCACGTGGCACAACAACCACTGACGGAGCCCCCGAATCCTCTAATCCCTCCGTCTCAAAACATGGTGATTTTTGGTGGACTTATTCGCCCTACTTACGGTTTATCAGTAACATATTTGTTAGTGTATAAAGATTGTTAATTGTTCCCTTATTTCTCATTAATTTGGCCCTCCTTTTTTTTTTGATGCAACTTAATCTAAGCGACGGTACGAAATGTCTCTTGCTCCCTAAACTCCAATTCCTTCGCTGAATTTTAATCCACTTGTTGCCTATTTTAGTCCGCTTCCTTTCTCACTGTATTTATTCTCCCCCATTTATTGTTTCGGATTTCTTTATTTGCTTATCATTTTGCCATGGCAAAGAATTGTCATGTCTACTCTCTTCCCATACTCCAGGCCATGTTATCTCTTTATCGCGCTAGATTATTTTTATCAAGAAGTAATGCGTTCATTCGTTTGTAGGATTTTTATTCCATCCGGAAGCACTGCATTGGCACTGCTCCCTTACTTTAGTAGCATAAATCGCGGAGCTCAATAGGTGGTTCTTTTACGACCATACAGTAGTGGCTCATGCGTCAGTTAATGTTTTGCTTGAACAGAAATTGACGGGACCACATCAACCATGGGAAACATGAAGGCGCGAAAGTTGAAACTCTCCAACCTCAAACTCTTCTCAGATGCCATGGAGAAGCACATCAACTCCGACGCCTCCCCTAGTAAATCCTCCAAGCTCTCAAATGTGAGAAACCTTCTCCCTTACTCCATCGCATAGACATCAGTGCACAGTTCTTAACCTTATCCGCGCCCTTTTTTAATCCCATTGCAGCTCTCCAATCGTAAGTCTTGATTTTGGTGTTGACAACCGAATATTGGCCTTCAGGTTCGTTCTACTGTGGAAAATAGTTCCTTTGCTTTAGCTGTGCTCCCAATTGTGGTGATTTTTATGTTATCAAATGCAGCATTTATAGCCTCAAGTGATAATTAGAAATGCCTTTACCTCGTCAATAAGCTTTATTGTTTAGTCCTCCCTTTAATGCAACCCTCATGTTTATTTGGTCCTTATTTTGTGTAAAGTCCTATCCTCCCACCATTGTTTTCGCACAAATGTGCTGAGTAGTAGTAATGTGGCATGAAGCAGTGTGAAGTTGGTCCACAAAGGAGCACGGGGTGTTTGATTCACCCGGAGGCGAGCGGTCCCTCCAGCCCTAAGCCTCAGCCAACTGTTTTGAAGGGTCCAATTTCTCTCCAACTTGTTGACTGGTTGATAGTACAAGTTAGAGGGTATTTGGGTGGAGTAGAAGCTTCTGGTTTCACATTAGCAAATCAAAAAAGAGAACTTGAAGGCGAACAAGAGGTGGTTACTTGTGGTTGTAACTGCAATTGATTGTAATCCGCCCTTTCCAATGCAAAATTCATCAAAAGGTTGGCTAATAGGGTTGAATTGTTTCTGGGAAAGCCTGTCCCTCTGCCTTGGGCTCTCCTACGACTTCGTCTTGACCGGAGGCGAGTGGGTTGGTCGAAGCGCAATACATCAACTGATGCTGGTTGTAGTGTCGTCGTTGTTTGTATGTCCTTCGGTTTCGGAGCGAGGGAATCAAAGGTTCTATCTCATTTGAACGAACATTGTAATGAGGTAGCAAATAGAGGTTATTTTGACCGCTCTTTTTTTGGTTTACTTTGCCTCATTTTATGCTATGGTGCAGTTAGTGCCGAGGCAGCCGCCGTGGCAGCTGAGCAGGAGGCGTTGGACTGCGAGGCGCCAGACCTTGAACGACGTCTGCGTGCGGTCATGGGTTCTGGGACATCGGAGGAGGAAATGCTTATGCGGCGCTGGTTCCAACTCATCTCTCGTCGCAATGCCCTTGTTCACCGCTCCTATCAACTCTCCATCATGTATGCTTTTTTATTCTCTCATCCTCTCCTATGGGCGTTTCCATTTATTATGACCGATCGAACTCATCATTCACGTTAGACTCAAGAGTCGTGGAGTGTCGTGAGATGTTGTAGATCCTCTTGGAGTTACGTTTTCCTGCATTGACTTCATGGTAGCTTTGCTCGAGTCATGACTGGTTGGAGTTATTGAAGTGGCCAGTGCTGGTAAGTGTTGTTTGTGCATTCATCACAAGTGCCTATCACCGGTTCACGTCGTTGTGTCACCCTTCCTTTCCCCTTTCTCCCCATGTATTTCACTGCTAGACCGTTTTACTCATTACAACGCATGTGGGTGGCTTAACTTTTTTCCCCTCGACCTTACTTCCTTAAATGCGGTCTCTTGGAGTAGCACCAATGGACTCCGACGGTGGGATAGTCGTACTATGGCTACTTGTTGCTTCTAACCATGCCAGTTTGGGCGAAAAAAGTTTTTTTTTTTCTGAAAACTGGTGGGGTGGTAATTGTGTGATTGTTGCATCCTCCTCTACGCAATATACCAAAATCACATCAACATCTTATCATTATAAGCGGTCAATAGGGGAGGGCTCGACTCGCCATTAGAGGGCGCACATTTTATCCACCATTACAACGCTTTTAATTGTGGAAAATGTACTTAAGCGCCCTCTGGCGGATTCAAATTCGTACCCTCGTTATAAATCTGACCAACGTATGCATATTCTGTAGAGGCCTCACTACGAAGACATCGTTTGGACCTTTGAGTATTTGAAGTGCTCACAAATGGGTGTTTTTTGCCTAACCGAAGTTACCAGAAGCGGTACCTTTTTATCTGATCTTTGCAAGTCGGCGAGGCTTAGCGGTACTGCGGGCTTGTAGGTGGTGTTAAGGCGCATGCGAGAAAATAGGAGTGAGAGAAGAAAATGTCGGGAAAATTTAGACATTTGTATTTTTGGGATTGGGAGGACATTTTTTTAGCCTACAAACTGCACCTTTGATTGCCCACTTTCATTTTTTTCTCTCCGACGAAGCTGTCATACGTGGCGGGGGTGGTATGGTTGAGGGATGCTGAAGTGCTGTCCGAGGTGTAGTTTGAGGAAAAAGTACTTCAGATTAAAAAATGTGTATTTATAGATTTGATACTCACTTGCCGGCAGTGTGCTATTTTACAGTGAGTTTGGGTGAATTCGCTATTTTTTTCTTCTTTAGGGAGAAGGAGTCCGATCTGGAACGAACTACAGTCCTTCTCAATGCTGAATTGCGCGAGCTGATGGAAAAGGATGGTGAGTAAAACACTTACCTTTCCACTTATTTTTATACGACCTCAGACCGTGATGTTGGGACACTTTCTGTCTCCTTTTGCTCCCTCGCAGACAGTCAGAAGACTGCTGAAGATCGAGCTCGTGAGGAGCTTCTGTTGCGTGAAGTTGTGGAGGTGGTGAACGAACGCAATGAGATTGTTCAGGAGCTGGACTATCAGGAGCAGGCGTATGTCATCCTTCCTTTTCACTTCGCCTCTCCAAAGGCTATCCGATTTCACACCTTCCTTTCCATTTCACAGCCTCGTCAACGAGGTGGAACTGGGTCTGAAGACAGACGCAATCACTCAACAAACCTTCCGTGCGATCTCCGGAACTGGTGACACGGGAACGACACGGTCCTGTACCATTCAATGAAGATTTCAATCTAATTTCTTTTATTATTTTTTTTTCGTTTATCTGCTTTCCTGTAATTCGTAATATCATTGGTGAGTGGAAAATAGAGAGTTGATGAAATTGTGCTTTGCCCCTTTTATTTCTGAGGGCAGGAAGCTGTTGATATGAGAGTGGATTGTTTGTGAGTTGAAAGGGAAGTCAGTTGGTATAACGGTATGCTGAGAGCGGACGATTTCGAACAGTATCTGCGGCTCACCACTTCTGTACTTCCATGTGGTTTAACGGGGTCCTCCTCCTCCACCACCACCACCACCACTCCACTTAAGCTGTCTGACTGCGATATTTTAGGCGACGAAATCTGTCGACAGGTGGGACTTTTGAGTTAATTACACGCATATTAATGGATGAAAATGTGATTTTACTGGGCCACTTAAAGTAGGGAAAAGAATCTTTGTATGAGTAGAGCATTTTGCATGGTCTTGTGTTGTCGGTGTGCAGGGAGAGACTTTCAAGTCTTCCACACTAAAATGTTCCGTAAATGATGGAAAAGCAACGGCACAAAACCGTTGCAAATTGTGTGTGTGTGTGTGTGTGTGGAATAAAGAATTGCTCGTTTCGGAGACGATCGTCGCTTTCACCTATCGCAGTCTTCACGAGGAGGCGGAAGAGTGGAATTGTAAAGAGTTGTTTGTTTTTTGACCACAGTTATGCACTCCTTTCCTAGCGTTCTCCTCAGAGTCTTCTTTTTAATGAAGGAGCACAACCAAGCAAA